AGCCCAAGACGAAGGCGCAGTATCTTAGTGCAGAAACGCGCGTCTCCCAGCAATTTTAGAGGCTGTATGTTCGGGGGTTTTCTCACTAATATTGTAGTGTGGTTTTAACATACATACTCGTAACAGACACTTAGACCTGCTGTCAATATCTATTATTACATCAACCTTTAAGGGTATTTCCATAACTTTAATTCCTATATCTATGCGGATAGAAACCAAAGTTTCTCCTTTCTACTTTGTGATTATTTACAGGGTTATGCCCTAATTGGAAAGTTACCCTATAAGACACCAATCTTTCTTTGTGTTGTTTTTTTTCTTTGGGATTCCTGGTATACCTCCATGAATATTCAGATTATGTTGATTGATTCTCTCTCACACTTTCTGAGTTGCCAAACTGAATATTCACTCAAGTAGGCTAGAATTCACTGTCCCTTAGATGGCAGAGTCTGAATAGCACATAAGTCAGTTTAGTTATCCAGTTATCCATTTTGTAACCAGGAGGACAGGCAATAGACTGATTTACTTAAACCATAAAGACATTTTGTTGGTCAGTCCTTGTGATGTAAGCATCTTTTTATCAATTTAAATGTATTGTTTTTTACATATGTTTGTTATTTCATCATCTATAGAATGTATAGAAAGAAAAACAAAATTATGGAATATCCCTTTAACGTGCAGGGGCTCACTGATTATTCAAATGTCTGAATTGTGACTTCAGCAAATACGCTCAGGTTGTCAATATGACATCAATAAAGTTTTAATGATTCGCTTTTTCAGACTGTTAACCTGCCATTTCACCAAGTGATCAATCATCTGTAAGATTGCTTATCTGGCAAAATTGATTAGCCACTGTCCACATTGTCCCAAGGACCAGGGACCAATCAGTAACCTGCTTTGTAAGCTAAACTATGATCTGTAGTTCTGTTACGCCCAAAATATTGCTCAAATATTCAAACTATAGCATTTCTAAGAGATCCTGGGGTTTAATCAATCAATCTAATTGCACATAAACAGAGTTTAATCAGCCATGTATTCCCGGATACTACAGAGATGATTTCAAGAAGATAAAGCTTTAATTTGATGATCATCATAGCACAAACACCCTTGCAAAATTTACTAAGCATTATTATTCTATTACTGCTTTTCTATATGATTGTGCGTCTGATTTTATTTCTCAGTTTACCTGTATTTATGCCATTTGTTTCTTTACTTTCCTTTACTATCCAAACTTCCTTTACTGTCCCATCTTACCCTTGTTGTATTTGTTGCAAAAGTACATTCTGAATGTACAAAAGTATATTCTGACCCTATCACGCAAGCCTGGAGATTCCAGCAAGAATGTAATATCTCAACTGATCCATGAACATTAAAATGTTTCCATCATTATAGTGAAGCTGCAATGTCTCTGCAATGAGAAGCCATGGTGTCATTTTAGAGCCATTTATTGTAACGCAGTAAACCCAATGCAGTAGTTAGGGGTGATTGGAGTTTGTTTTAGCAGGCCTTGAAGTTCCTGGGAACTGTAACTCCTATCACATTGAGTGATAAATACATTCGAAAACTTCAGTCTTAATGAAACACTCCGTAAAAAACAAACAATTTCATAGACGTACGCTTAAAGAAAATTTGTATATAACATGTCTTATGAGATATTTTGCCTTTTGGCTAAAAGCAGCAAGGTGAATTGTTAGTGTAAGACTCACCTAATAGGTTTTCATTGATAGGGCAGGTGACCTTATACTTTAATGTCCCTTGAAGTGGTACTAAATCTTTTGTTACATAGGGATTTGGGATTGTGCGCAGGTAACTTTTTTGCCTTTGTTCTATGTATGTGGGCTGATTTTACTGCTGTGTGTGGGCTGGGTGTTGCCGCCCAGGTGTAGTGGGAGTTTGAGCACAGGGCTTAATTTTGTCTCTCCAATATTTATTAACAATGATAAATAATATGTTTATATGGTGTTTATATATGTAAACCTTTATTATTTCTAAAAACTATGTAACATGAAAAGGGCTACCATTAGAAATTTTGGGTTCCCTTACACAACTCAAGGCATGGGCCCACTGGGCCCACCCCCAAGGATAAGTAAAGTCTATCCAGTGTGTGCAAATAGTGGATGCAGTGTTTGCGTGTATTTAGTGGAAGCAAGGTGTGTGTGTGTGTGTGTGTGTGTGTGTATAGTGGATACAGTGTGTGGGTATAGTGGATGCAGAGAGAGTATGTGATAAAACTGGATGCAGTGTGTGTATAGTGTATGCAGTGTTTGTATAGTGAATGCGTGTGTCTTTATAGTGGATGCAGTGTAAACTGGATGCAGTGTATGTGTGAGAGCAAAGTGGATACAGTGTGAGTAGTGAATGATTGTATAATGTAGACGGTCTTCATTGCATAATACAACAGGAGCCCACAAGTGCATGTATACCCTCTCGGCGGCCGGAGCCCTGTACAGCTGTACTGGCTCTACATCCATCAGGAATGGCGGCACTGAACATGAAGATTTTTATAAAATACTTTTTATGAAGTCTCAAATCAGTGTAATTCCTGCACCCTGATGGCAGGCAAATCCTGGAATATATTTGAAATCCTAAGAAAATACTGAGGATGCAATTCTTAAATAAAAGAGAAATCTGCATTTCCCTCTCTAGGAGAACTGTAGGGAAAACGGTTTCAGTTTATTTTGCTTGTGGGCTCCACCTTGTTGGTATAGTGGTTTCTGTTCTCAGTTATGTCTTAAATTAACACTACAGCATTAGAAATAGAAACATGTTTTCTAAGGCTATATTGTTTCTTTACATATAGGTAGCCATCCTTCCTCCCCTGCTCTGAAGATTTACTTACTTTACTGTAGCACCACAATCTCTTTGCCAAAGCTCCACGTCTTGGCAGAGATCAACAATCTTGATGACCTCAGCCAATCAAATGCTTTTCCATAGGAACACCAATCAAATGGTCTTTCTTAGACCATCTAGAGTTTTACTCTGCTATTTCAGTGGAAGTGCCTCTAGTGGCTGTCAGTGTTCCTGCAGAATGGCAATGTTTTTATTGAGTGAGTAGAGATGCCATTGTTCACCCCTAAATAATAGTATGCCCCTTCTGCTTCCCCAAGAGGCTAGAAATCTCCAATCCCCCAACAACCCACCCACTGAATTTGATGAGAAGGAAGTAATCCAATTCTTCTAATAAAGAAGCATTGGTCAAGTCTTCCCTAGGAGAGATATAGTACTATTGTACTGAGAGAGAAAGCCCTCTCGGCTATCAGCCTGACAGCCAGGGGGCATTTCCATCCTGTTTTAATAAAGTGTATTCTTATGAAATAGGCACTTTAATAAAACAGGAGTAAGGGGTACTTCAGTAAGCAACTGCTTTGGGAGTTTAAAGTGTCTTTTTTTTTAATAGAAATGAAATGCTTTCTCTCTGCTTGGTAAGATGAATCATGAAGGTTTAGAGGAGGCAATCAATGTTTTTAGTTGTCTTATGTTGATGGTTTCTTTATTTTGTTTATTTGGCAGCGGAGCAGACGACTTATATGTTCCTAATATATTCGTACCTTGTGGTTCCATTTGTAACAAAGAAAAAATTATAATAATGAATGAGCTGTATTTTTTATTTTAAGCATAATACTTTTATGCACACAGCACTTTATATACCAAATGTTGTAAAATTACTTTAAATTTGTAAGAATACTCCTCTCTGGATTTTTCCCAGAAAAAAAAAAAAATGGAAAATAGCCTATATTGGCCCAAGGCTTCAAAATTTCCATAATTGTAAATGTCCTGGAAGGACATTTTAATATTTCCCAAAGGGAGTTATCAGGCCACATGCTGAGAAGGCCGCACTATGTCCAACTTGACTTGAAGGCATTTTTACCGATATATTGGAGAGGTTCTAAAATTATATTTTATTATGAAGTAGGTCTTACATGGATCCACAATTGAGAGCAAAGATGGTCATTCTGATAGACGCTAAGAAAGTTGAGTTCTTTTAGATAACTATGAAAATATATGCCCTTCTCTAGCTGCTTCTATAAATGTGAAAGTCTGTGACACCATTATCTATTTTCCTTATTGTGATAACAAACAAAACAAAATAAACTATTTAGTTCATTACTCTCTTTGATAGGATATCTCTGTTAACATTTTAGATTGTTCACCTTTAGTTTTTATGATATCATCATCAATGATTTGCCTGTAAAATATAATACACTGAGCTATTTTTATTCTTTCCATTTCTCTTTTTTTTTTGTGAAAAACTGTATATCTGTATGAAGACTATAACTACAGCTGATTAAACATTGCATTTATTACCACTTACAATGGTAGGTTGACTATTAGCATACTGGCCAAGAAGCCAACCCAAATCATCTTTTTGCCAATTAAGAACCAGCGTACATGATCTCAAATTGCATTATCTTTTACTGTAACATAACCCCATGCAAAATATGAACCATATTATAAAAAATAAGTAATTATTATTATTAGTTATTTATATATTTCCAACATATTCCACAGCACTGTACAAAAGGTAAACAAGACAAATAATTCTAGCAAAACATATTTCACATACAGGAACGGTAGGTCTAGACTGTGTATGTCTTTAAAAGGTGTAATTAGGGGGCGGGGCCTAAACAGCATGGCCGACGGATGTGTTTGTGGCGAGCTCCTTATCCAATCTAAGCAATCCATGGTAAAAGGTTGAGGTGCAATCCCCAAAAAGCCGCCAACGAGACCAATTAATAACTACTTATTGGCGGGGTGCCCCTCAAGCGACTCAGGAGTCACGTCCACCAATCTGAAGCCAGAATCAGCTCCTGTGGCCTACTTACCTGGAGGGTCCCACGTAGGGAGGAAACAGCCGATACTCCAGCCTGGGACCTCTGGGCTATCACAGCCAACCCGTTCAATCCCCTCTGGACCGGCAGGGGATATTCTGGTCCCCACTGAGGAAGAAGCAGTCGTGTACTATAGGCATCCTGTCAGCCAATGCTGCCTCATCTCATCCCCAGGCCACAACCAAAATAGCTGACGCAGCAGGGAAGCTATCTGCAACTAACTGGGAAGACAAATTCCAAGCCAACTTCGACAGGATCTGCGCAGCATTCTGGAGCCGGATTGCATCCCATGCTGAGCAGACGCAGATGCATACGATCCCTGCTACAGAGCTCAAGACAGCAGTCCCAACCACAAAGCACTCATCAGAGCCGGAGACTCATCTGGCGAAAAGCCCTCACCATCCAGCACATCCCCCTGCACGAGTGAACAACACTGTTGTCCTGGCCACTCGCCCTTCTTCTGGGCTAGGCTGGACGTTTCTCTCCTTTGCCAACCATACACCCAGGGGGACGACTGGGACCCGGTGTAATGTTGGGCCCACAATCCTGATAATGGGATCAATAGTCTAACGGCACGAGCTCCCGTTCAGGCCTCAAGCCGAAGACATGTGGTACTCGGGCGACTCAAGTCTACGACAAGCTGCCTGCGGATTGCAACATGGAAGGTCAATTAATCCTACGGCCAGAGAGGACATTCCAGAGGAACACAGTGGATCCCCAACCAAGTAGGGGACCGGCGGGTTTCCCACCCACAGCTCGATAGAATGGCCATCCAATGCCATAACACCATCTCACCCTGTGGCGTTGGCTGAGTACACTGACAGGCATACGGCTAGGCCTATCATGTATATAGTGGATAATGGAGGCTTACACCTCTCTTGCACCTAAATGCTGCAATCTAGTCCTGTCATTTTATTTTGCTTTTGGCCTGTTGTCTTCTAACTTTATTATTTAACTGTGCTGGTGGCAAGATAGCAGAGCTCTATGACGCTGCGATGCCTTTCCCCAGTGGTCATCACTCTAAATACTGTCATGTGTGCAACATTAAGCGGTAGTAGCTTCAACCTCACCGCCACCACTTTCTACATCATCAACCATCCTTAACCGACGATACAGCTACACTTACCCACAGATATGTATTGAGTTTAAGCCTGCACCTTAGCTTGTTAATGTTTTATCTCTATAACGCTCAGACGCATGAACCTAGCATGTAGTTTATAATTTTATAATTTTACTACTAATATGTTTAGCAGTTACCCATGCTTAAATGCCTTATCACTCTTGAAAACACAGGCGTATTTACAATAGGAAAACCACTAACAGGTGAAGTGAGTTACATTGATTACATAATTACAATGGCACGGGGTGGGATATATTAGGCAGCAAGTGAACAGTCAGTTCTTGAATGCCATGTGTTGGAAGCAGGAATAATGGGCAAGCAAAAAGAGCTGAGTGACTTTGACAAGGGTCAAATGGTAATGGCTAGACAACTGGGTCAAAGCATTTCCAAAACGGCAAGTCTTGTGGGGTGTTCCCAGTATGCAGTGGTTAGTACCTACCAAAAGTGGTGTAAGAAAGGAAGGAACAGCGTCAGAGTCATGGGTGCCCAAGATGAGTTTATGCACATGGGGAGCAAAGTTTAGCTCTATTATCCGATCGCACAGAAGATCTACTGTAGCTCAAATTGCTGAAAGAGTAATGCTGGCCATGAAAGGAAGGTATCAGAACACTCAGTGCTTTACAGTTTGCTGTATATAGTACTTTGTAGCCTCAGACCGGTCCGAGTGCCCATGATGACCCCTGTCCACCGCTGAAAGTGCCTTCAATGAGGATATGATCATTAGAACTGGACCACAAAGCAATAAAAGAAGGTTGCCTGATTCCTCACATATTCTCTTAGATCACGTGGAGGTTTTGGGTGTGTGTACCTGGGCAGAGATGGCAGCAGGATACACTATAGGAAGAAGATGTGTGAAGCAACAAATCCGATCCATGGAGGCTCTACTTGCAGGACTTAAAGGATCTGCTGCTAATGACTTGGTGCAGGATAATGCAAGACCAGTTCAGTGCTCTTGTAGAGTCCAAGCCTTGATATATCAGACTTATTTTGGCAGCACAAGGAGGGACCTAAACTATATTAGGCAGCCTGTCTTAATGTTGTGGCTGATCAGTGTTTATATATATATACAAAAATCCATAGAAACCTGCATTCCAGAGTCAAATTGTAATCCAATGCCCGGTGCTTATCCACAATAATACAAAACCATATGAAAGTTTAGTGTATAAAATGAAACTTTTTATTTTATTTTTGTAATATGTAAATAAAAGCTAAACTTTAACTTTCTGCAAACTTCAAAACATGGAAAACGTGGTTATTTATATATATATATATTATATGTATACATATAGACATGTATATCACAAATGACCAATAGATTTATAAAGAAAGTATGGTTGAGTACTACTTTAAGAGTTTTCTTTAACATATTCACTAAAATTTTTATCATTTTGTGTTAAGTAGGTCTAACTGTGAACCAACGCGCTGTTCGCAAAAAAAGTATAATGTGCTTGGAGACAATTTGTCTGTAAATAAGGAATGCTCGATAGTTTGTGGGGGAGCTTTACTGCATTCCTGATCTGCAGTTGTTGTAGACAATAAAAGGTCCTGGAGTATACAATTCTTTTGGTACCTTGTTATTCAGATGGCTTCCAGATGTCACGCAGTGTATGTTGAAAGGAAGCGGCACTTTTCCCGATTTATAGGTGAAAAATGTGAACTATGTGTAGAAAATAATAGAATTAATGTGTAACTGTGAATAAATGCCTCAGTATAGTATGTAATACAAGGAATGAAAGCAGAAAAAAATATTTATGCACAAAGCAAAAAGCTAACAATCTAGAATATGTTATCTTTATGAAAATAACATTTGTTTATATGTATATTAAAATATATGGATCTACAGTTCTTGGCAAACCAAAAGTTAACTTTGGCAGGAATCCTTGAATACTAATTTAAAATGCTGGAAAATAAACTAATGTCAATTGATTCCAGATGATGTTGCTACTGAAAACTAAACTTAACCCTGAAAGAAAGAAAAAACAAACAAGAAAAGTCTATGTATAATAATAAATAACATAGTATAATAATAATAATAATAATACATACATACACACCAGTAAATTATTAAAATTAACAAATTTGAAGAAATGTTGGGAGACATGGAAGAATAAATATGTTCACAAGAATGAATGACTATCATCTAGACAAGGCTCACAAATTAAAGTTACCAATCAATACTTTTCATTTTACAATTTATTTTATTTGTTTTTATAAATGAAAAATGGAAAATTTGTAATGAAAATTAAATGAAGCCCGCCACTGCAACCACAATTTTTTTAGATGCATTTCATTGTGGTTTTTACCTTCATGAACGAGTCAAGTGGTCCATTTGACCTCAGCAGATGCAGATGGAAGCACTGTCACTTCTTTTAAAAAGAAAAGGTAAATGAGAATGGGCAACTGATGACCCACTCACCCATTTCACAATGAGAAAAAAAAAAGGCTTTTCCACACACCCAGTCTGTAGCATGATTGCTCATCTTTCAGTATAGGAAAAATACACTGCCCTACGATATGCTTCTACCAACTGTGTCTGTGGAGGAAGCAGGCACAGCAAGACTCCACTACATTGAAAAACATTATAAAAAGGGGGAGCAGCAGGAGTAATTTAATTTGAAAATAGGGAAATAGGGAAAAAAAGACAATAGAGAGTGGGCATTTGATGACACACTCACCTGTTTGACCCTTTAATTTTTTTTTAAAAATCCCCTTTTTACCAATTACATGATTTGTGCTGCCACTAGGGCATTGTTTAAAAAAAAAAACCACACACACACACACACAAAACCTGAAGGACGGTCACTGAAGCTACAAATCTCAATTCATATTTCTATTTATTTTTTTAATCCAGATATATAATAGTTTAATTTTGTCAACTCAGAGTTGGCATTGCAAAAACGGCCAATATAGCGTAACCTTTAGGTCAGGCAATCTTGCAGCCATTTTTGCATATCAGCACATTTATAGGCACTGTTTTTTCTGCTGCGCTGGCTGTCTGAATGACTTTCTCAAATTTTTTATGTTACCAAAATTCAGCCAACCCAAGCAGTGGAGCAAACTAAATTATTTCGACCCAAAAATACAAATATTTCCCAAGTGTTTCAGAACAATGAAAAGTTTTAGCCCTGCACATACTATAGAGTATGGGGAAATTATATATATACAGAATAGAATATGTATCTGAATTCATTTAGTATATATAGATTATTGCATAAACATATGTGCACATTTATGGTGTCTTCCCTCAACTTGTTGTATCATATAATACTTTAATATGTCATATGAAGAACCAATAGCACCGTCATGGTGTGCCTATGGAACACACACAAATCAAAAATTATAAAGTCCATACAACTGTAAAGAAACAAAACCAACCACAAATAAAACATAATAACTCCTCAAACACAGCCTGTACGTTGTAAAACAAATTATATCTGTGAGAAGCCAGAGACGGAAATATAAAACACATATCTATTCCCTCAGGGATTATTAATTCCACATCGATGGGGCTATCTGCATTTTTTGCTTTTTTTAGACATTTTTAACATATTTTACTTCTGGAGCTGAGGGCCAGTAGAGCAGACTCTCTCCCAGGTTATTATATTATATTTAGAGCTTTGAACTTTTTCTTCATTTAAGCCATGTCCAACTAAACTCCCGTGGTGATGAAAATATTTGCTGGAGTTTCGTTGGAAGGTTTAACATTATGCCTTATTTGAAGGATCTTTTACAAGGATGACACTTTTGTTTCTACACAGCATTCCAAAATTTAATGATCAAGAAAAAAGGAAACCAACACCTATATTTTAAGGGGATTATTCACTGAGTTTTGTGATGTTATGAGTTTACAGCTGACCTGTAAAAATTACATAAAAGTAGCCAAGTTACAAACATTTGAAAAGCCTGCTTTCCAAACTTGCATTACAAGTTCATTGTCATTTATTGTAACAATATAATGTTTATTGAAGTTCAAGCAGTGCAATGACAACTCGAAAAACAATGCAATGATAAATAAAACTGCAATTGTACTGATAGACTAGGAAATCTCTTGCACTTCATCAAGAACAAAATTTGAACAGAAAATAAAACACTAATCCTCCTGTATTAATGAAGATACACAAAAATTAGACATTACAAAAATGGGAGGGGGTTTGGACAAACCACATACCTTATTGGGGTGAGAACGGGGTAAACCATTTCCATCCAGAGGAAAGATGTAAAGTAAAAGTGTGGGGACAGTAGAATATTTGAGCCCTATATCCTACAGGAACCCAATGCAGGGGCTGACAGAGGGAGGCGTGGGAGGTGCAGGTGACAAAAAGAGGAGGCTCGCCGCCGCATTAACTATAGACTGCAACAGTGTAAGTTGGAAGCATGTAAGACCACTGAGAAGTGAATTGCAGTAGTCAAGGCTAGAGAGGATAGCAACATTGACTAGCATGTT